CTGCTGGGTTCCAGCAATCCTTCCGCCTCAGCCTTCCGAGTAGCCGGAATTACAGGCATGCGCTACCATTCCCGGCTGATTTTTTTGATTTATTGTGGTATACATTTTCTCTATCGTTTGCCAGTTTCACATCAGATAAATATAAGCAGTAAGTTAAATCGTACTTCACAACTTACTCTTCATGTATCATCATAATTAGTGTTTCAGATTCTGCCTCTGGATCTGCTCTGCTCTTTCTAACAGCCTTTGATTTTCCACAGCATAAATACGTTAATGTTTGCTTAGTGGTAAGCATGAAGGCTGTTTTCAGTTTTTCACATCACAGACAGTGCTGTCGTGATTTTCTGAGTTTTTGTATCTTTGTGCTCTTCTGGCAGAATTTTTGTACAATAGATTTTCAGAAGTGGTATTGCTTGGGCAAAGGTTATATGCACTTAACACTGATAGTTGTCACTAGAGAGGGCTGTCCCATTGTATACTTCCCTTCCAACTTTGTAAGAAGGTGCCTTTCCTCTTCTCTTCCACAATGGAATTTCCAAGTCTGGTCTGGAATGAACTTTCTTGCCGGTAAAAGCTTGCAATATGGCTCTCTCTTGGTGGAAAAAGATCAAAGGAGGGTTTAGCGAGTTACTGTGAGCTGCAGTCAGGGTGATCTCCCTCTCCCTCTCCTTTTCTCCCCCCCACACCATGAATAAGCGACCCTGCCCACCTTTCCTTTTGCCAGTGGGGCCTACAGTCAGTTCAGCTCTGTATCAGAAAGGGCTGGGTTCCTTCATGCAATAGCTTCCTTCAAAGGGGTAGGTACCTCAAGTCACATCCAGTGTTTTGAAACAATCCATTTCCCCACTCACCTGATAGACTGCTTCTGGGCCAGCTGCTGTAGCCAATACCTTTTCGCCTTGTTATCCATGAAGACCTGACCAGGAAAACATCCTGTCAGAATGGTGGCTTCAAGGACAAGCAGGAAACAGATTTGGAGTGGAGACAATTTGCTCACGTCCACCTTGGAGGCCAAGGGTGCAACCTGGCTGACTTTAGATTCTTGGTGGTGCTTACTCAGTGCCCCCTGGTAGGGAAATCACAATTGCAGGACACTGAGTGCTCACATAGCTCTGTTCTCAGTGACAGATGGGGAACATGGGCCCCACCTGAAGAGGACCCTGCTCTCTAGTTCCAGCTGGTTTACCACCCAGGAGGGCTGGCCAGCTTCTAATTTGATAAGAGAAGGCAGAAATCTATATTATGTGACACCTCCAGTTTTTGAAACATAAGCTGATATTTCGCCAGTTCATTAAAGCTGGTTTGTGGGCCAAATGTGAATTAGGGCTTCCAATTTAAGTCCATACTGCTAAAAAAAGACTGATTTGCAGAGGCAAAAAAGAACTTTATTTTCCAAAAGCAATCTGCAGATTTAGGAGACACAGCCTCAGTGCAAAAAGAAAGTGCACTCTAAGGAGGGGTTGGGGAGCAGGAGATTATAATGGCAAAAACACGGCAAGGGAGAGCAGTCAGGGAAACGAGGAACAGAGCCTTGATTGGATGACTGTTAAGCCCCAAATTACCAGTCTCAAATGCTTGGTTCCCGGTGGTCAGTCAGCTGTCGCCAAGTGATCTGTTGGTGGTCAGCTGGAGAATTTTCAGCTGCAGTTGTTTCCAGGAACTGTTTTTTTGCCTTGGTTGCAGAAAAGCAGGTTTTGCAACACTTTTCAAGGACACAGAGTCTGACCA